AGTTGTCTTGCCAACTCTGAGAGGCCAATTAAGTAAGAGAAAAATTTTTTGTTTGAAGTGAAAAAATTTTTCTCTTACTTAATTGGCCTCTCAGAGTTGGCAAGACAACTCCCACCTGTTCATGCTCTCTGTATGTGTGTATATATATCCCCTCAATATATGTTCCACTCTATATGCATCCGAAGAAGTGGGCAGTGGCCCACGAAAGCTTATGCGCTAATAAATTTGTTAGTCTCTACGGTGCCACAAGTACTCCTGTTCTTTTTGTGGTTAAACAGATGTAAATCTCCCCCTAAAATGCTGCCCAGCCCTTCTCAGCAGGGCCAACCGAACCAAAGCCATTGTGAGATTCTTATCCAAGCTCCTTTGGAGACAGAATGAACCACAAAGTCGGAAATACAGAACCTCACAGGGCAGGGGCATTTTTAAACCCTCCCATGTTTAAAATGTTTCTGATTCTCATCAAACCACCCACGCACCTCCTCTCCCTGAGGTGAGATGCAGCAGGCAACATGGCAGAAAGAGCAGGGTCTTTTTTTGCAGAAGGTGGTTAAAAATCCAGCTTATTATGGGCTGCTTCAAACTGACTAGGGGGCAGCCACTGCCACCCCACACAATATGTCTGTTGAAAAACAGGGGGCCAAATTCTGCTCTCAGTCACATCGGTGTGGACCTGGATTAATGCTGATGTAGTCCACAAAATATACTTCCAGCCCTACCCTGACATTGCCTCAGGCTTCTGCCTCTTCCAATCCAGTCACGCCATCTTCCAACTCTATCCCCTACTGTTTGGCCTAACCAAGGCTAGTGCCATTCTCGTACATTGTTTTTACAGTTGTCCACACGGGACAGAGAAAGATGTGACCAGAGAAGCTAGGCAGGGAGGCAGTGGAAGTGTTGTCTCTCCCAGTGCTGACATTCAAGGACCCCCTTGCACTCCCTTCTCCCTCAGCACACTAGTCTTGCAAGTTCCACTTTCCAGAGGAGATTCAGGAGCCAGGGACAAAGTCCGCTCCTTGTGACCCTGGTGCTAGCACACTCAAGTTGCAGAGAGCACAAAGGGGGGGGGGGACTAAGAGCATGCGTCCCTCCCATGAACCTGGGGGGCAAAGGGTAGCAAGCTACTTGGAAGCAGGGACTCAGCAGCCATGCTGGTTTAATTATGCAGAATGGCTTCAACTGAAGTAGGGGCATAATCTTGGTAGAATCAGAGAAATTATTAATTTAAAATGTTTTCTCTTCAGCCAAACCACATGAACCATTTAACCAAGTCCAGAGCCATTGGCCCACCCAATGAATTGTTTCTAGGGGGATAAAACCATTTCAGAACTGGCAGTAAGATGGATTCACCTCTGCAATGCTACTGCTCGGTTGTGAGGACTGGCCGAGGGAGGGCCCAATTCTGCTCCGATTGAAGTCAATGGCAACTGCCCTTCACTGCAGTGGAAGTAGGATCTGACCCATTCTGGATGAACGCAGCACATCAGCTCTAGGGTGAGACATGTGTCCTGAGTGTCTTATGAGAATTTCCTCCTCCTTGGTCTAACTTCCCCTCATCCAGCTGGACTCAGCACCAGCTTCCCCTTTTCCTAATCAGCGAAGATTCACTGAGAACGACACAGCTACTGTGGATCTAAAGGACATGAGGTGCAGGTTTGGGCCTGATCCTGCTCCCATACATGAAATAACTATTAGGTTACTGGGCCCAGCTCTACAATATTCGTAATTATCAAGAGCTCCCAGCCCTTCTCCCATTGAATCCAATCCGAGCTGTGCCCTTCCAAAGTGCTTTGCAGATTTCAGTAACTAATAACAACAACAAATGGATCAAATAGAAAAAGGACTGAAAACATCTTCATTACAGACATAGCCAGTGAATTCGCTGCGATTGCAGCCCCATCACTGAAGGCCCAATTGGACCTGTCACCCATTTAGAGATCATCAAACTTTTATAAACTGTAGATAAGTTGGTGGTTTAAGTACAGTCACCCGCAAAATTAATTCTCCACACCCCACCAGCAATGTAATGATGAACAGGGTCTCAAAGCCCTGTACAGGGTGCAGGCAACAGTGTTATCACTAAAGTGATTTTTCAAATCGCAATTGTTTCTAAAAGTCTTCATTTTTGCCTAAAACCAGAACCCTCCATTTCCCGACAGCTCCCCACTAGGGGTCATGCTCTTTCCCTGGAGCACGGACATGGATGGGAACAAAGAGGAGCCAACAAGGAGTTCTGCGGAGGGCCCCAATCTCTGCTTGGGGCCTGATCCCATGCCACTGATGCAGAAGCAGGAGAATGGCTGCCTAGAGCGTTCTCCTGCCAGCACAGCAACACACCAGTGCACAAAATGGGGTCTGCTCTGCTTAATACTCAGCATACCATGCATTGTGTCAGCCAGAATTTCATCATTGTCGCAAACATACATCCTTAATGTCACCCTGGGGCCTCCTTAGCTGTGGGTTGTCAGCTGGGATGCACAGCCTTCAGCCAAAGAACAAAGACAGGGCGGGTTGGGTTTTTTTCCTCCTCTCTCTCTTATTCAGAAAAGGGTTTTTTTCCCCCCTTCTCTCCCCTCTCTCCTAAACCTGTCCAGCAGTTCCCATGCAAGGAGGGGCACCTCACCTGAGCCCATGTGTCTCTTGCCCTCCCAGATGTGTCCTTCCTTGGTCCCGTTTTAGGAACAGTGTCAGAAGCACTCCGGACCAAAGGGCTGCAGTCCTGCAGCTTCCCCTGGACCAAGGAAGGAAGCCATCTCGCTGCTGTGTAGCGGGAGCCACGACACAGCATGAATGTTGTCCACAACTTTTCCCAGTGTAAACCCATGTTTTTCCTGGGACATTTATAATTCAGCACGAAGTACCTGCTGTTCCCACTGGCTCAGAACCTGAGGCCCATATTCACCCAAACTTCCATTGACGTCACTGGTATCTTACCTGACTCAGGACCTAGTGAAACCTTCCCTAGGAGCAGAGAGGTGCTGGTACCCATGGACCAGGTCACTGATGTCCTCTCCAGGTAGTTCAGCATCCAGGATAAGAGCCTGGGTGGGAGAATTCTATCTTTTCTTTCTCTCTCTCTCTCTCTCTATTTGGACCCGGATGCCTCTGTGATCTGCGCGTTATAGGCAGTACAGAAACAATGGAGGTTTCTGCTTTCAGCTCTTCTTTCACCTCATCTGACAAGCAAAAAGGAGCTGTCTGCACTGAACTTTTAGAGAAGACGTTTGGCCTTAAGTCCGTTATGCTCTCGACACAGGTTGTTAGTCAGGTGTCCATCCCACACCTTCCGAAAGCAAAAAATCCCCACAAAGTGCACATTCAGATCCTTTCCCCAGAGCACAACAACAGTCTCTAGGCACAGGGACAGAAGAAAGAGAGAGTCTCAAGCTAAGTAAACCCCTACAGCTGTTTGTAGAAATCCCACTGATCCAGCACATCTGCTCTCAGACCAAATGAACAATTACTGGGAGCTGCCCAGACTCGCTGGACTCCCCTCAGCTACTCAGAGACCTGAAAGGCCTGCTGACTACTGCAGCTAGCAGCTCAGGGGGGGCAGCATTTCCTCCCCAGAGATGCCTCACACGGAAGCTGGGAGTAACAGATGCACACACCTCACAAACAAAGGCAGCAAAGGTCACAGTTTCTCTCTCTAGGGACTCCACTGTCCCTCAACAGATTTCAGGTTACTACTGAATATTAGGAGTTTATTACTAGAGACAGGCCAGACCCTGAACCCTGGATCCAAACATCTTGAAACCCACCCCTACATCCACATCAAATGTTGCAAATTACCTCTATCTTTATAATAGAGCTACACCACAATCCTGGCTTTGAAGAGCCCTGAATCCAGGGATGTCCAAAAACTGCATCTGGGTTCTACTGCCTGATCACAGCTGGTTAGTGCACAAACGTTCGAAGTCTGTAGTGAGCAATAAGGGCTTATTCCTGCTTCCACTCCAGCCCCCACTGCTACGGAGGACTTCTCTAACAAAGCTGCGTTCTTACCTTCCTAGCATGCATGAGCTATCCCCAGGGAGAACACAGGGACGACCAGGCACTTACTTGAGTTTAACCACAACACCGAAGCTCAACCCCAGGCAGATACATAGGGCTGGCCCCGGTGAGTGTACAACTAAACAAAGCGCCTTGTCTCTGCTGTGTTTTCACTCCGGCTAGCTCCTGTGTGACAGCTACCCCAAGGTACAAAAAACAAACAAGCTTTTTCAGCGGTGAAGGCAGGCCCTGAGCATTACAATGCAGCCATCTACAGCCACAGCCCGAATCATTACAGAGCTGAATCCCGTAATCCTTATTCAGACACAGGTATGTTCTGGGCTGAGGCTATACAATGCCTTACTATCTTGAAGAGGGCCGTGGTTTCTTGTGAGCATCTCAGCCACGCTCCACCAGCAACACAGCTCTCGAAGGGGTCTAACACACCAAGGCTACTTCGGCCCACGTGACTTTCAGACAGGCCTCTCCTTCGCGTTGAACCCCAGAGCTAAGCAGTTCTGATGTTTCACTGGGGCTCTTTTAGAATGTCATTGAAAAGAACTGTGTGTTGTTTGAAAGTAAACATTCTCCTACAGAGCTGGTATCCCATACACCACAACTGCACCAGAAAGTGAAACGGGCCAGAACGCACCACCTGGGCTTCAGAGCTGAATTTTCAAAAGACAGCCTGTATGCTGGGCCTGCAAAAGATAGCCATCTGGTCCATACCTGTATATTTCCACGGATCTACAGCAGCCCATCTCCTTATCCTCACAGGTGTGGTCCATTAACACACCACCCCAGTGCCCTGCTCCCTGCACTTAGCTCCCACTGAACACAAAGCTCCAGGGAATACAGGAGACAGATTTTTTTTCAGGGGCCAGCCCCAGACTGCAAACAAACTCTCCCAGGAGTGAAGAACCAACCCAAACCTCCCCACCTTCTGCTCCAAATGCAAGGCACATTTCTTCCACCTGCCTTCTCTAGTGTACATAGACAGCAATGTGTGTATATATAGATTATATATAAAAATTAAAAACATCCAAAACTAAACACCCCACTGCACACACTTCTTCCCCTGGGAAGAGGAGGCGAGAACATGTGATAGTTAGTCACAGTTGCTTAATGAACGACTGGGAAGACGCTCATGCACTATGGTGATGAGCACAATGTAAGAACCCATATAGAACAGAATAGAATGGTTCCAGGTCTTGGTCCTGATATTCAAAGCCCTCCAAGAGACTGGGCCCAGCTACTCCCGGGATGCTTCTGCATCTGGAACCACAACCTCTCCCTCAAAAGTTACATCTCACTGAGACAATGAAACTGTCGAGATCAGATCCAGATCCCAGCTTTGCAGCCCAGGCCATTTCAGGTTTGCCATGCTGGGTAACGATCATGCTGTACTATCCATTGCTCACAGAGCACCACAGATGCACCCCTGCCCTGAAGAGCTGACCACCTACATTCAGGACAAGGAAAGCAGAGCCCAGCCTTGCCTTCTAAACCCTGACGCGCTTCCCCCAGAAACACTATTTCCAGGCCTTTCCGCCCTTCAGAACCAGCTTGTCCCTCTAGGCCCCCTGTCAGTCACTGCTGACCACTGCAGTTTCAAAGACCTGGCTCACACCCTCCCAGTCCTCATTGAAAATGCAGTTGGGCTAGTTTCAGTTTTAATTCCAGAGGAAACAGAGTTAACCTCATCAGGTACATTTCCTCTGTAGGTGCAGAGATTGCAATGGAAACAGTCTGACTTTGCCTGTAGAGGCCTCGGTGTGCCGGTCAAAAGGCCACAGGGAAGCGTTTTACATGATGGCTGGGATGTCAGCCATGACCCAAAATCCATTTGAATGACAAAAAAAAAAAAGGGAATAGCTGATACCAATGGCTGATCCACCACTCTGGGCCATCACCTCCCAAATGGCCTTTCATTCTCCCTAAAATAGAGCATTTCCCTCTAATCCTGAAAAGTAAAGAGGTACTTGGGATGTGCAGTTTAATAAGAAAAGGAACTTCTTGACTTGCAGATGTGCTCGTTAAAAAGGCCAGTCCCTTCCCTGCCCCACCCACCTCCTGTTTCTACACCCTGCCCTTGCTACCAGTTTCCCCCTTCCTTCCCCCTCCCCTCCCCCCCAGTCACAGGCTTGGAGACTTCCCCAATTTTACCACGGTCTTTGGTTTGGTTTTGGTTTTTTATTATTTCATCCTCTCCCACCCCCACTCCCACCCCCGCCCCAGTGTTCACCTCAACCTGCTATCACATTTTAAAACCACAGCTGCCTTGTCCACACTAGAATTTCACTAATGCGTTTAGTAACCATGTGTTAGCTAAAAAGTGGTGAAAAAATACCTTGTTGCCTAGGGAAAACAAGGCCTAGGCATTCGCTCTGAAGCAGCAACACACATGGCCAGTCACTATTCTACTGTATTCTATTCTAGATAGGTTCTTATCCTATGCTCATTACCCCAGTATCTGAACATCTTCCCGTAATGCATTAAGCAACTGTGACTAAACCTATCACATATTATTTGGTCTCTCTGACTTTTCTAACCAGGGCAAATCCCCAATGCAGAGAAGAGATTCATTACTCCCAGGTCTGAGCTGAAGCACAAAGTGGCAGGGAGTTGCACTGGCTCCGTAGAAAAAAGTTTGTCAGTTTCCACAGCTGTCAGATGGTCACCTTTCACCAGCGCTAAACACATACAAAGAGAAATAAAGCAACAAAGAGTCACTCTTTCCATCCTTCCCTTCCACGCCTGTCCCCCACTCCATTCAGACTTCAATGCTAGAACAACCACCACAGCAATAAACAAGCCAGTCATTTAGGAAGAAATGGAGTAACTGGGTGTACCTGCAGAGAAGTAAGTAAGTGCATCCCCTACAGTTGGGCCCCGGGGAACCCTAGCTTCTTTCCGGTCTCCTACTATCTGTGTTTCCATGGATCATTTTCTCTAATACACATTTACCAACCACAGAGATCCTAACTTTCAGCTCTTCCCTATGGGTATCCATCCAGCTGCCTTTCCCATCCACCTGGGACTGGTACAAGTTCCAGAGCTGCTTCAGAATTTATTTGTTTCTCAGACACCACCCAGCCCCTTCCCCATGATATCACCAAAGGAGTTTCTTCCCATTGGCCTTTGGGAGGATGAGGCAGAATAAACTGCAGTTTCTTTAACTGTGTCACTACCTGAAGGCTCTGTGTCTGGAACCTGCAGTGCAATGTCTCAGCACTGAAGAATTCCCTCTCCCCTTCTTTCCCCAGGCCAGGGGTAACCTG